CCCCAAAACCCCAAAACCCCAAAACCCCAAAACCCCAAAACCCCAAAACCCCAAAACCCCGTTAATTTATTAATTAATATTTTAAATATCAATGGAGACAGATACTTTATATAAAGATTTCAAGCTTGTGACACTCAAGGGATCACCGTCATATCAGACGAATAATCTTTCAACAAATGGAGATTATTTTGTGTATGCATACAATGGTGACCCAATGTCCAAGCTCTTCCTCTTCGATCATACGTAAGTCCTCTCGCTTATGAGAAAGATTTGACTGGCTTCTAGGGTACTCAAACAAACAAAGAAGGACGAGACTGTGAATAGCTTCCAACTTTATAAAGAATTCGACTACATTGTCAACACTAATTATGTCAAGAAAGAAGATAAATGGAACCTAGTCGTCTGCTGATACAAGAGCTGTCAGATCTGGAACTATAATGGAAGCAGGCTACAAGAAAAGCTAGAAGCTCCTGAATCAGACGAGGGATCTCCTTATGCCTTCACTTGTTCTTCAAGAGCTGCCTCAGATAATGGCATTGAATACATTGCTATTGGAACTAATAAAGGAGAAATCTTTTTCAATAAGGAAAAAGGAAGTACCCAATCAGTATTTCAGATGCATGACAATAATCCAATTACTCACATGACCTTTGATGAGAGATCAAAAGTGTTAGCTGTAGGCAATTCCAATGGATATGTTGTCCTGTTCAAGGCAGAAGAAAGTGATGATAAAGTGAAGCTAAATCCGATTTCTCATCTAGAACCACCAAATGAGATCCCCCTAACTTCCTTAGGAACCCTCTTCAGGGGAGAAAATCTGCTAGTCTCCTGCTTCTGTAACGGCACTGTTAAGATTCATACATTTGAAGGCGCCCAGGTTTGTGAAATAGGAGCTCACTCAAGGAACATCAACGCAGTGTGTTGACACCCATCCAAAAGTATCTTCTGAACAGTAGGAGATGACTGATTCCTTAATGTTTGGGAAGTCATTGGCGATACCACAGATAAGATCGAGGTAGATCTCAGACTATCATCTAAAATTACAGACCTCATGCTTGTTGGTGTTCACTTTTCAGGTGAAGATAATAGTTCCATCGTAGCAGTCCCCTATGATTACCCAAATCTTATTCTTTGCGAAAATGTAATCTAATTCAAGAAATTGTCAATATTGTTCCAGAGAATAGGGGTTTTGGGGTTTTGGGGTTTTGGGGTTTTGGGG